TTTTCAGTATATTTTCATCGACGGGGGTCGATATTTCCCTCCAAACTTTCAAATCATCTGCGAACAGCGCGCAAGTAGATGTCAAACGTCCTGGTAAGTCGTTGATATGAAACAGAAAAAGCGTTGGGCCAAGTACTGTGCCCTGTGGCACACCACTAGAGGCAGTACACCATTTCGTTCGGTAGTCATTGACTTGGACGCACCACTGCCGCTTGTCCAGAAAAGACTGAATCCATTTCAGCAATTTTCCACCCACGCCATAACTGTTGAGTTTAGATAGCATGATAAAGTGATTCACTCTATCAAATGCTTTGCTAAAGTCAATCAGTAAAGCATCAACGCTCCTACCGTCATTAACTGCTTCAATCCAACTGGGTCGGGAAGTCAAAAGATTCGTGGTACAAGACCGTCCTCTTAGGAGCCATGTTGAACTGATGTAAGCACACCGTGTGATTCTATGAACTCAAGCAGCGCCTTCTTGACCACTTTCTCCAGCAATTTGGCCAGCACTGGTGTCAGGCAAATCGGTCGATAGTTCTCTACTCTGCTTCTGTTTCCTCCTTTCGGGAAGGGCCGTACGATTGCTTGCTTCCATTCACGTGGGACGTTCCTTTGTGTCAAAGAGGCCTCGAACAATTCCGTCACTGCAGGTGCGATAACAGGTGCCAGCCTTTTGAGAAGTAGTGGATGCAAGCCGTCAGGTCCTAGCGGTTTGGAGCAGTCTAGATTAGCAAGCAATCCCCTTACTTGGTCCACTGAACAGGATACTGTATCCAGTTTGGCGTCGACTTGGGTACACTGAAATGCTGGAGAAGCTGAGTCGAACACTGACTCGAAATGTGAAGCAAGTGCGATAGCTCGGTCCTCGTCGGCGGTCAATAGTGCACCAAGCGAATTTTCCAAAGCAGGTAACTCGTCACTTGGCTTAAGCATGCGCTTGATGTATGCAAAAACCTTTTTGGGTGCCTCCTTCGCATTTGCTGATAAGCGTGTTTCATAAGCCGCAAGCTTCTGTAGTTTCACTGAATTGCAACAGTTTCTTCGCGTTTTGTAAGCTGTGTAATCTTCCGCGCTATGAGTTTGTTTGAACCTCTTCCACAATTTTGCACATCGCCTCAACATGACAACATATTCGTTATCCATCCATGGCGGCCTTTTCCAACATTTTATTGGTGTTAAAGGAGCAAATTGGTCTAGTAACTGAACAAGGTTTTGCTTCAGCACCTCCCAACATACTTCAACACCGTCATTCAAAGGTAATGACCAGTCCATGTGTTCCGCAGTACTCATCAACCGATCCCAGTTTGCTTTCCAAATGTTACGACGGGGTATTCGTAATGATACAACAGATGGCAAACGTAGGACGGCTGAAATCGTGGAGTGATCGCTGGACCCAATGGGTTCAAATACTTTAGCGGATTCGACATGTTGCTCATCGTTCGTGAAAAGGAGATCAAGACAGCTTTCAGGTTGCCCCGGAAGCTGCCTTGTTGGTTGCAGGATATGCTGCACAGCGTGCATCTCCACCATTGTATCGACAATGAAAAGCACTAAACTTATCGCGCTTCGAAGCATAAAGCACAGCTGACCGAAGGTTAAACCTATCTGAGCTGTAACGTGATATACAGAAATCCTGGAAGTTCCTCCAGGGGGATACTTGACTTTATTCGCACTCAGTCTGCGAAGAAGTGTTTAGTTCTAGGGGATTTCAACCTCCCGGAAGTCTGTTGGGCCGATCTTTCTTGCAATTCGGCATTAGGAACATTCGGTGCAAACTTCCATTGAACTGACTCTCCAAGTGCCTTTGCACCAGTTCGTTGACTTTCCCACTAGGTATATGGACAACCAAATACCATCTACTTTGGGTTTGGTTTTCGCTAAGTCCCTGGACTTCGTGACTGACGTTTCATGCGGTGCACCTCTGGGGTCCAGCGATCACGCATGCATATCCTTTCGATGTGCTCTTTCAAGGCACCAAGAGACCGCTGTTGAATCACTTCCGAATATTTGGCGGGCGGACTTTAGTGCAATGCGAACTAAGGCTTCAGTTCTGAACTGTGAGATCTCGATGGCTGACTCTGTCCAGTTAGCCTGGGAAAAATTTAAGGCATGCCTTACGGAGGTTTCCGCTCCCTGTATTCCACTCATTAGGAAAAGAGGGTTAAGGGCACAGCCTCCATGGATAGATACCACAGGCAAGTACCTACTCAAGAAACGGTCTAGATGCTGGCAAACCTACCAAGCAGCTCCATCAGCCAGTACCTATGATAGTTATCGAGAGAATAGAAATAAATGTAAGCAACATCTCAGAACTGCTCGTCTCCAATACGAGCACGGTTTAGCGGACTCGGCCGCAGCTAATCCCAAGAAGTTTTTGCTTACGTTAAAAGACGCAGCGGGGCAAAACTGTCAATACCAGCTTTATTGCGAGCAGACGGGACCCGTGCGCAAACTGACTATGACAAGGCTTGTATACCGAGTGATCAGTATACTGGGGTCTTTGCTCGGGAGACCTCTTTACCACAGGTTGAATTGGTTTCAAGAGTTCCAGAGGATTCTTGCGTAGCTGAATTTAGCATAATGGAGACTCAGGTCTTCGAGCTACTGCAAGGCATTAATCCCTCTAAAGCTTCCGGTCCTGATCCAATTCATCCGAACCTGTTGCATGAACTGGCCACTGAGCTGAGTGGTCCGCTCACGTGCGTATTTTCAATATCGCTGGACAGCTGCAGCCTACCTTCGGAATGGAAAGAGGCAATCATCTGTCCGATTTTTAAGGGCGGTGACAGCGCTCTACCCGCGAACTACCGGCCTGTCAGTTTGACAAGCGTAGTAGTCAAGTTGTTTGAAAAGCTGATAAGGGATTCAGTGGAGAACCACCTGAATAGATTCAACCTTCTCAGTGTTGCACAACATGGATTCCGCAAAGGATTTTCATGTCAGACTAATTTACTTTAGCTCGTGAAAGCTGGGTCGAAGCGGTAGACAGTGGCCGCGCTGTAGACGTGCTATTCGTAGATTTTTCGAAAGCTTTTGACACTGTACCACATCTTCGGCTCTCACTAAAGTTGAGATCTTACGAGATATCTGGTCGCGCCCTTCAATGGGTGTCTGCCTTCCTTGAGGGGAGGGAACAGTGCGTACGGGTGGGGCGTAGCCTTTCGCTCAGGCAAGCTGTCCTTAGTGGCGTTCCGCAGGGCTCGGTATTGGGGCCATTGTTGTTCGCGATCTATGTAAATGACTTGCCGGGAGAGCTAGGGGTGTCATCATTAATGTTTGCTGACGACCTTAAGCTCTGGAATATTGTGGATATTCCGAGGGGTCCTGAGGCAATTCAGCGTGCCTTGGATAGGCTCTGGGAATGGTCTATCTTATGGTTGATGCCCATAAATAGGGCGAAGTGCTCTGTTCTCCGAATCGGAGCTGCTAATCCTCCCACCCGATATGTTGTCGGCGGTGGTGAACTCCCTGTTGTCACTCAGCAGGTTGATTTAGGAGTCGTACACGCATCAGCACTTCATTCTGGAGACAACTGGAAAAGGCTGCTTGTCGAGGGTTTCGTATGATGTGGTTTATCCGCCGCTCTTTCGGAATCTTAACGGCCAAGTTGTTTGTGAAGCTATTTTCGGCATTCGTCCGACCCCACCTGGAATATTGTATTCAGGCTTGTCCACCATGTCTTAACCGAGACAAAATGGACTTGGAGAGGGTGTTACGAGTGGGCACTCGGTTAGTGCAGGGTCTACGGGGACAGACGTATCCTGAACGCTTGCTCAGTTTGGGGATGTACTCCATGCACTACCGAAGGATAAGAGGGGACCTGATTCTCACTTATCGTATTTTGACGGGAAGATTGGCCCGGACTTGTCAGGACTTTTTAGTCCCGCTACGTTACCTAGTCTCCGCGGTCACCCACTGAAACTGCATAAACCACGGTCTGATAGGATTAGGACGGAAACTCGTCTATCGCGCCGAGTTATAGATCGCCGGAATTCGCTTCCAGATCACGTGGTTAGGGAACCTACGGTTAAGGGTTTTGCGCGCCAGCTCGATGCTCTTGGGTGGCAACAGCAAACCTTTCCTTTTTCCTAGCTGACTCACCTTCACTTTTCAGTTTTTTTTTATTGACTCAAATATCTTGGTATTCCACTTGCTTAGCTCTTCCACTTTCTCTTTTGCCTTCTGCGTTTACTTTTTTCTCTTTCTTACTTCACGCAACCGACCCAGCAGGGACTGCTAGGGCAGGATACGTGGGCATTAATTGGTTGGACAGGGTGTGATGCGGTCTTTGTTTTAGGTCCATCAGTATTTCAAAGTTCCCCAACTCCTGGTTCAACGACCCGCCGAAGAAGGAACACTCACGGGATAATCCTATCGTTCCAGTCCCGCTTGAACTTGAACTTGACCAAATTCCTTTGTTTCTAGCTCAACTCGCAAACTGATTAACAAAACGTGCAAGACAACACCAGAAGGGTGGCTTCATCTGCTTGAGGTGAATCGAACGTGGAGGAATGTATCAGCGGTACTCAAAAACCGAATACCAACGGTTCGTTACCAGGTGATCATCAACGGTTACGTGCAGGTTGGGTTGCTGCTACGTCACCCGAATCTACGCCGACTCGAACTGGTGAATTGCTGGTTACAAGCAATGGTCCAAACCACTTCAAAAGCGATCGGCCATTACATGTAGAAAGCTTACACTACACAAACCTCTAACTACATGTTGACTGAGTGGTAAAGAGCAGAAGGAAGGTCCCGTGTCAGCTCCTTCGCTTCCCAATCTTCCAAAGATCCAGACTTTAGGAAATGACTAGCTTTGTATAAAAAAACCAGATAAACTACAAAACAACCAATTCGTTGGCTGAAAATAACTTAAAACAGTTGCAACATATTTGTAAGTCAAAAATGTTTTGGATGAAGAATGAAAAACTGAACTAAGCATTGACCCACGACTGGCTAGCAGAACAGTGCAGGAAAAGGATAAGGCCAGAAGCACTCACGTCATTGTTTAATACCCGGAACGTGGCACCACGAGTGGACATTTCGTGGACATTGTAAGCCGCCGAAGAAATGCGTGAGCTGTTTCCGGCCGGAAGATTGCTGCGAGTTTTAGCTAACAGAACCCATCCCAAACCTCGGCTTCAAATAAACTGAAAGTAAGCTTACTCAAAGAATCTTCAAGGTGATGCATCAGCGCGAGTATAGCGGATAAGTTTGCCAGATGCTCCACAACTAAGGAATCCAAATCATCGTCTGACATGAGAAGCACACCAGTACAGCCAGTTCCAAGAACACAAGGTGGGGTTGCGGATTACCAAACATTTACAAAAATTGCACGCTTCTCGAGCAGAAATATGGGCAACTAGACGCTTATCATCACTGTTACACTAGTCTAACTAGCCAGCAGCTCTTAGTTAAATGACAGATAGTTTGAATCGGCAAAACGACGATTGTGCTACGTTATAGCGGGGTACACCGCGAACATTTGAACTCGCATTGTTGGCTAGCAAATTGCCGGATTTCAACAAAATTAAGTTGTTCTGCCCGTTTAGTTGACACCGGTGGAGGAATCCAAAGCTGTTATTGCTTATTTGAGTATGAAGTACTACACTAAATACAGCATGGTTCCGAGCACCAACAGTTTAGCAGAAATTTACTGCGCTAAATCTTCCAAGTCAGCTGCCAGTTGTGAGGAATCTGTGCAAGTTTGGTCCAGTTATGTCAGTGGAATGAAATGTAAACGAGTGTAAGTGGAGCATCGCCGGGTATTGTGGCCAAACTGGATTGCGTGGAATCTACAACTACTTTTGGATGCAAGCAGGGAAGCCATAAATAGAGTCAAGGTGCAATGGAAGAATGGGTTGAACAGGTAGAAATGCACAAGCCTAACAAGTTCCGTAGACTGGTACTAGAAGGAATTGTTTCCTGATTAGCTCATGTTACCAAAAAATACGCATGGGCAAAACGGTACAGTAATAGTGTTAAGACTGTTGGTTTTGCGAGTGAGATAGGCAAAACCAAAATCAACGTTGTGATGGTTATTACTTATAGTATGTAAAAGCGGAATGCCCACCCCTCTGCACAAAATTAAGTGCGTCAATTGGGGTCATTATGCTATGGTGACTGGTTCGCCGGAATAACTTCGGAATATTCGCTCAAGTAACAAATTCGGAGCTTTTATGTTTCATTAATTTCATCGGTTTGTACAGAATGCATAAAGGTTACTTGGCTGTGGTTCTGCCTCGAGGTCTTATTGCAAAGTCCTGTTGTCTTCGGTAAGTTTCAAGTGTTGTAGCTAGCGACTCGTTAGTGATGTGCGGCACAGGTATCCAGCTGCTTGATTGTGGTGGTGTGGCTACCTGGAAGAAAGGGGCTATTGTGCATGTAAAAGGCCGATGTTTACGGTGTTAGTGTTTTGCAGTGAGTCTACAAATTGGCGGTTGAAAGACATAAATTTGTCAAACATCAGACAGATTGGTAAAGTTAAATGGGAGCTAAATAAGAGGAAAGCCGTGAGCTAGTGGGTCAAAACTATGGCCCCTACCAATTAGCTAAGAGCATGGACCCGGTCTTTCTACATGAACGGCTAGCGACGCAAAGAGTTAAGCATATATGTGCTGGTTGAAAACCTCTGTATCATATGATGAGACAAATGTTTCAGACAGGGCTTTCCGGCTGAAGGCGAAACGCACATTAAATCTGGTTCATCGGCACAGAAACCGACTACTGCCTGTCATGAGTTTGAGCGACTGCCCTCTAAGATTATCTGTGCGGGCGCGATCGAGTACGTTCATATTAAGGTGACTGCTGTTAGTTCAGGTAGAATAGGCTGGGATGTGATCACTACGGAACCTGCAATAGTTCTGTTGGAAGAGTTTAAGCGACCCAAGGCGAATTTCGAATGAGGTGTGCGACAGTCTCTCTACTGCCGTAATGGCTCTGCGCTGGACGGTTTCTAGAAGAGTCACGTTCTTCTTCAGACACGGCGGTTGGAAGAGTATATTGTCCTCCAACAGCGGGCGTAACAGGTTGCGCTAGAGGCGGAGAAGTATTCATCTAAGGAATAACCCTAATGCATTCTCAAGAAGGGCCAGGCGGAAGCTGGCCTCTCCTGCCAAGGTAGCTACTTTAGCCCTCGGCCTCAGGTCCACGGACATGATACTGCCTTGGTAGCGTTGCTGGGATGTGGCGTTAAGAAGTGCGCCTCTGGTAGAGTACGAAATGCTCGCCTCTTGTCCGCTGTGCATGAACATGCGCTTGACGGTTTTGAACGGGTGCATCTTCTCCGAGGCCCAGGAGTAGGAGCATCGAATTCTCTCTGAAGAGGCGCCTTATCGCTTGGCAAGCGGATTTGTCTAAATATTTTAGCATCGGCTGGGTGGAACAATATACGACTATTGGAAGATGTTAATTCCTTATTGAAGACAATACGCAGCAGGGACCGAGGATAGGTCCCTGGGGCACACGGATTATCGCAGAAAGAGCGCATGGAAGTGCGCAAATGACACAAACTTTGTAGGTCCGTAGCAAGGAGCTTTTTTGCTCGTCAATATATACAAACTCGGTACTTTTTATTCAGGGTGCTACAGGCTTAACCTGGTCCAATGCTTATAAAAAAATCTAGGAAAATCACCTCGATTAAAGTATGACGGTCTGCCACTGCGGTCCAGGACTCAAGGTCTGCGGGAAGATTCGAGCTGCCCAATTAAGCCCCGCAGGGCACTGCTGTTCTGGGGATATTAAGGTCTGGGATTCTAAATGCGAGTGCAGCGCATCGTTTAGCATGCTTTCCATTACCTTATACGCAGTTAAAAGCAGAGTTTTCAGGTGGTAACTAGAAAAGCTCTTCCTGCCACCAACTTGGTGTCTGGGTGTTATTGCAGTGCGGCGGAATCCAGTGACTTCCCGTGAACCGGAAAGACAATAGAAAGAGATTGTAGGGAATTAACCACGGACGCAGTGGATGAGACGAGACCAGGCTTAAGACAGTTGCGCATCAAGCCGACAGCGGACCACGGGCAGCATCTGGTAACGATCCTTGGCATAGCAACACAGGGATATTTGTCGAGAACGTAATGAATCAGAAACGCACCGCTAGCAAAACCCACAAGAGTGAACGCAATCGAGTGATGCAGCCATGGGAGTTAAAATCGCTAGCTTTTGAAAGACTCATGCCACGCCGTAATCGGATGTAGCGAAGCGGAGACAAAGGATAGAAAGTTGGAGGGCTGATCTCGAAGCCCAATCTCGTAGGCATCTGAAATGTCCCGTCACACAAAGCCTCATCCGCGCATTGTCGTTGGAATGGAACATGGTCAAAACCTGTACTGGTTTATGAGTTGTGAGTGTTACGTTCTTGTGGCAATACACCCTCAGCCCCCGCGTCTTTTCGCTACGCTGGTGCCGTGACAAATTAGGTTAAAGGAGGTCTGGACCGCGCAACTCGCGCACAGACTTGGATTCCTGGCTCGATGAATTTGAGACCATCGCTGCATGCAACGGGGTCAAAGTTGACGCCAAGCTGCTACCGGCTTTGAGTATGCTGTTGGATGGAAGAGCGAAGGCGGTGTAGTTGCTCGTTCGGTAAGCTGTTCGTTTGCTGAACTGTGGACGGTATTCTATGCAAAATTTGAGGAGGACGCCTATGGAAGTGGGCAATGGAGCAATTTCACTTAGCCAGATGGGACTAACAAGAAGATTTCGTTGTGCTTTTCCAGCAGCTAGACAAAGTTTGGCCATTGGGCTCCTCGAGCTGGAACGCAATACAGGTGAACCGTTACTCAAACAGAAAGTTGTGCGAAGCCTGCCGAATATACTTCATGACAAGAGAAATTTGCCAGCGGTGGTTGGAGACTGCAGGGTGGAGGATCTGGTGACGGTTCTTCAGAAAGTTTCGGAGCGAGTGGTTGGGAGGAGAGTCCAACATTCTGACTTGGAACCGAAAGTAAACCAATTGTCTGGAATATTATCGAAGCTGTTGTCAAGGGAGACTTCAATGGCGATTTCACAAAGCAATGCACACGGCGGCCAGAGCGGTCGTTGCTGTTTCTGATGCAATATATTGGGGACCGGCTAGATCCTGCACCAACGGCAATTTATATCATTGTTTCTCTCTTTATCCTGGTTGAATAGCTGGCGCGTACCGGTCCTCAAGGTACTGACTGAAAGTGCGTCGGACCTGGCGACAGTGAATACGGGAGTGGGAGTATGCATTACGAAGAGGTTCGCAAGAGTTCCACTAACTCAATCCTTGATCGTGGTGCGGACGGTCGGTGGACATCGGTTGACGGTGTACGAAACCCAACGGTTACGTCTCCGGATAGGAGAAACACTGAGCAGCCATGCTATATTCCTCGTGGAGATAATAACCAAACCAATCAAACGAAATACTCAAGCTGCTCAGTGCTGCAAATGAAAAGAGTAATAGCTTGTTACTTATTGGCAAGGAGCTGGTTAAGCTAAACACTGGGACAGCCGACTCGGTAGATGTCGTCAAGCTCCTGCCTGAATGTCAGAACCCTAAATTACGGAGTGTGCTGAGCAAGTAGGCCTGTGTTTCCGCGGACGCGGATGCTGATTACCGATTCTGTAACTGGGTGGCACCTCGAATACCGTTAATCCCAAGAGGGCAGTGTAAGTCGATCATCAGAAGAATGCCTCGGCATACGCTGAGGAAGATAGAGAAACAGGTAGCAGACCTGGAAGAGAACGGAATCAGCAGGCGAACACACAGTCCGGATCCGTCACCCGTGCTACTACCAAAAAGACCGGCGGTACCTGTCGATTTTGCATTGCTTTCAGAGAACTGAGCAATGAGAACTGGCGGATACTTTTCCGATGCCCCAGACGGAAGAAATTTCCTCCATCGTTCACAGCGCCAAGCAACTATCATGAATAGATCATTGATCAAGATTTTGGTAGCTGTCCATCACAAAGCAGGTCGCCGCAAGAAAGCTTTCAGTTTGAACGTCCAGTACTAAGGGTTTCTAGGAATGCCGCTTGGATTATGTAGCGCCGCAACTACATACAGATGCCTATTGCTGATGGCCTTGGAGAACCTACTTGGCGTTGTTATCAACGGTGATGGTATCAGCGGCTGCTCCGAGACAAAGCACAAACATGGCATCAAGCTTCCAGCAGTACCACAAAGATTGGAAGAAGCTGTTCCGAACCCAGTTACAATACGTCAGATATGGCTCGGGATTCGATTGAATGTCTGTGCCACATGGTACGCAAAGCTAAAGGACATCCGCTTCCTGAGAATCGCGAGATGATCGGTAGCTTTTACGCGCCGATACCTTAGCGTTAGC